TAAAATCTACAATTTATTTTTCTGACTTTCTTTGAAACCAATAGAAGCTATAATTTCATGAATTACAACTGACATTTCTGAATTAGTTTTCTGAAACTCATACAAATTTTAAGTTGAAAATGAATATGAATTCATATTTATTTTTAGCAATTCTTTATTTTGAATAATTCTTTATTATCGCAACTAAAGACTTATCTCACTCAGTTAATTTAATTAAAATAGAATCAGACATGTCATGATGGCTTCATGGCATAAACAATTATTGACAAAGCATTTTAACAAATTTAATTAAACAAAAATTAGTTATGGCTTCAGTGCTGAATAAATGACAAAGAATTTTTTGCATATGAAAAATTGGTTTTTCAAAAAAGTGCTCAACCAATAAACTAATGTAAGAAATAATGGACAAATAATTGTCATAAATGCCTTATAATCATAGATAGCACTAAAAAATTTCAACAGTACTAAATCTGTTTGCAGTGATAAGCAGTACTTGTGATAACACTGATAATGTTTAATCATAATTTATCCATTCCTCACTTATTTGTGCTATAAAATATCTGACAGGAAGTGCAATAAATATTAATATTAGTAATAATATGCCTCGAAAATATTCCAATTTTTATATCTACCACAATCGATAATTCCTTTATTATTCAGCATATCTTCACTACGTAGTTCACTTATAAAATGCAATGATCGAACTCGCTCACCAGTGACTAAATTTGTTAGTTTCTGTACACAAATTGATGGAAAAAAAATTTGCAATGGTCAGTATTTCGAATAATATTTGCTTAACATTTTAGTAAGAGTAATTTAATAACTTAATTATATTCATTTTATTATTTTTTAATTCAAATTTTAAATGAATAAAAGTATTGTAAATGCTAAAAATGATTTTTAATTTTTTGATCAAATTATCATGAAATAATATTTAAGTTAATAATTAATATATACTGATGCGCTGAATTATATTGATTTAGTATAATGATTTAAAATTACACAGAACTAAGAGTATATCAGATTAGATTTCTAGCATAAGTTTAGTTTTTTTGGTTTTTAGACAGTATTAAATATTTTAATGAAGCAAAAAATTTATTCAATATTTATGCATTCCGCGCAGTAATATTTCTTAGATAGAATACAAATTCTCGGCCTAAATTATCATATAATCGCCAATTATTTAAATTTCAATATGCATAAACAAAAATGTTATTACTTTATTTTTCAAAAGAAGCAAAAAACAGTACATAAACTTATTAAAAGCAATAAATAAATGTTATACATTTAAGTGTCTGATTGCATACAACGGATGCAAAAAGCTACGGAATTTATTAAATTACGATCAAATACACGTCAGTTTCATCGAACATTCACATTAGATTCTGATTTATCGCACATACGTTGGACTCCGACTAATAAGAAACCCCATAAAGCTAAAAGTTTGAAATTATACTTTTGTTTTCAGTCGCAAACAATTAGAAATATTTTTAATTTATGATTTATTATTATCTAATTTGATGCTAATAATTCATTAAAGAAATTTACTGTAAAATGACATAATGTAAAATTTATGTCAAAAACTGATATGAAGACAAGAAATCATCAAAATTGCTAAAAATTTAAAATATTTGCTACAAATGTTTAACTTTTTAAACTTTTTCAAGGATTTATTATACCATTATCTATTGATGGAACAGCAGTGAGTTACTTCTGAAAGAAATCAGTTGAGACATACAAATGCAAGCTAAATTTATTAATTTTCAAATTGACATTATTTTTTAATTTAGTGAATTTTTAGTTGCAATTGAAAGTATTAAAGAAGTGCGTGTAGGAAAGAATACGGAATTATTTCGTGCATCAGAAACTTACGTAAATGACACGCAGGTTTATTGTCATAACCTATTTTCAGTATTATCACGAACTGAAATTATTATTTTTAAGCTCATTTTTGTTCAAATTAAGTAACAATAAAATAAATTCAGGCAGCATTTAATGCGCAGAATTGTGATAAATATATGATTTTAGTGATACAGAATGAAAATAACAAGTAATGAGTATGATAAATTTAACTAACAGTAACTTTGCTGATAACTACTTTAGGATGAATCTGCGTTCTCAATCATACATGGTGACCAATATGAATGCCTGGATTTGATTGCAAAAACTCCTGAAGACGCTAAAATATGGATCACTGGTTTGATGTCGCTTACATCTAAATATGCTGGTATATGAATATTATTTATTATATATTTTCAAA